TTAAAAAGTATTTTAAAAAATAAAATCTTTAGGGGTGCCTGGGTGGCTCAGTCGATTGAACATCCAACTTCAGCTCAGGTCATGATCCCGTGGTTTGTGAGTTCGAGCCCCATGTCAGGCTCTGTGCTGACAGATCAGAGCCTGGAGCCTGCGTCGGATTCTGTGTCTCCCTCTCACTTCCCCTCCCCTGCTCATGCTCTGTCTCTCAACAATAAATAAACATAAACAAAAAGTTAAAAAATACATAAATAAAAAATAAAATCTTTAGAAAATAAATAAAAACAATGATCCACCTTTATGGAAATAAAAATGATTATAAGAGAATATTATGAACAACTGTACACCAACAAATAAGATAACTTAGATGAAATGGAAAATTTTCTAAAAATTTAAAAACATAAAAACTACTAAAAAACATAAAACATAAAAACTGCTAAAACTGACTCAAGAAGAAATAGAAAATCTGAGTATATTGAGAAGAGGTAAGGAGATTGATTCTGTAATTCTAAAAATGTTCCAACAGGGGGCTCCTGGCTGGCTCAGTCAGGTTTGATCAGCACAGGCTGATCTCAGGTTTATAAGTTTGAGCTCCATGTTGGGTGTAGAGATTATTTAAAAATAAAATATTTTTTTAAATGTTCCAACAAAGAAAAGCCTAGGACCAGATGTCCTTACTGTTGAATTCTACCAAACTTTTAATGACAAATGATCACTAACGCTTATCAAACTCCTCTGAAAAATTACAGAGGAGAGAACATTTCCTAACTTATTCTTACCCTCACACCTTTATAACAAAGCCAAAGACATTACAAGTTAAGAATATTAAAGGCCAATATCCTTCATGAATATAAACATGAGAATTCTCAATATACTACCAAACCAAGTTCAGCAGCACATTAAGAGGATTACATACTATGAGCAAGTGGGATTTATCCCTGCAATGTAAGAGTTCAAAATACAAAAAGCAATCAGTGTAACACATCACATTAATAGAATGAAGGAAATAAAATTATTATTATCTCAATTGATGCAGAAAAAACATTTGATAAAACACTCTTTTATGATAAAAATACTCGATAAACTAGGATTAGATGGGAACTTTCCTTAATATGATAAAAGCAATATATACCAGTCCCATAGCTGACATCATACTCAGTAGTGAAAGATTGAAAGCCTTCCCTTGAGATCAGGAACAATCGAGGATACCCACTTCTACTTAATGTAGTAGGGGAAGTTCTAGCCAGAAGAATTAATCAAGAATTTGATTCCTTTCCCAGTTGGAAAGGAAGAACTAAAGTTATCTCTGCAGACAACAGAATCTTATATGTAGAATACACACCCCCCCACACACACAAACTGTTAGAGCTAATAAGTGAATTCAGCAAACTTGCAGTATGCAAAGTCAACACACAAAAACCAATTGCATTTCTACACACTATCAATGAACAATCTGAAAAGGAAGTTTCAAAATAAACCCCAATCCTATTCACAACATCAAAAAAGAATAAAATATTTAAACATAAGTTTGTACAAAGAGGTAAAAGACCTGAATATTGAAAACTACAAAACTTGGCTGAAAGACATTGAAGAACACTTAAACAAATGGAAAGACATCCCATGTTCATGAATTGGAAAACTTAATATTGTTAAGATGATGGTACTACCTGTATTCGTTTGCAAGCGCTGCCATAACAAAATACCACAGATTGGGTAACTTAAACAACAGAGATTTATTTTCCCACAATTCTGGGGCTTAGAAGTTTAAGATCAAGTTGTCAGCAGGTTTGGTTTCCGAGGCCTGTCTCCTTGGCTTGCCAGTAGCTGTGTTCACATAGTCTTTCTCTATGTGGTCACATCCCTAGTGTCTCTCTGTGTGTACAAATTTCCTCTTCTTAATAAAGACTCTTGTCAAACTGTATTATGGCCCACCCTAATTGGTTTCATTTTAACTTAATCACCTCTCTAAAGGCCCTATAGCTAAATACACCCACACTCTGAGGTACTAGGTATACATTTTGATATAAGCCCATAAGAAGACCCAAAGTGATACACAGATTCAATGCAATCTCTATCAAAATTCCATTGGCAATTTTGCATACATAGAGAAACCCATCCTAAAACCGATATGGAATTTCCAAGGGCCCTGAATAGACCAAAGTATCTTGAAATAGAGGAACACAGCTGGGGGTGCCTGAGTGGCTCAGTCAGTTGAGCATCTGACTCTTGTTTTTGGCTCATGTCATGATCTCAGGGTCATGGGACTGAGCCCTGCATCAGGCTCCACCAGCATACTGTTTTGATTACTCTAGCTTTGCAGCTTTGAATTAGGAAGTATAAGTCCTCCAACTTTGTTCTTTTTTTTTTTTAATTTTAGAGAGAGACAGAGACAGTGTGAGTGGGGGAGGGGCAAGAGAGAGGGAGACAGAATCCGAAGCAGGCTCCAGGTTCTCAGCTGTCAGCACAGAGCCCGATGTGGGGCTCAAACTCGTGACCTTCGAGATCATGACCTGAGCTGAAGTTGGACACTTAATCGACTGAGCCACCCAAGTGTCCTTAGAGCATGTGACACTTGATCTCAGGGTCGTGAGTTCGAGCCTCACGTTGGGTGTGGAGCCTATTTAAAGATAAAATCTTAAAAAAAAAAACCATAGTGAGATATCTCATCATACCCACTAGGATGTTTACAATAATTTAATTTTTTAAACATTTATTCATTATTGAGAGACAGAGAGAGACAGAGCACGAGCATGGGAGGGGCAGAGAGAGGGGGAGACACAGAATCTGAAGCGGGCTCCAGGCTCTGAGCCGTCAGCGCAGAGCCCGACGTGGGGCTTGAACCCATGAGCAGTGAGATCATGACCTGAGCCAAAATCGGACACCCAACCGACTGAGCCGCCCAGGTGTGTCCCAAATGTCTATAATAATTTAAATAACGGGTACAACAGGGGTTAGCAAGGGCATGGAGAAATTGGAACACTTGTACAGTGGTAGTAGGAGAGTAAAGTGGTTCAGCTGCTGTGGAAAATAGTTTGGTGGTTCCTCAAAAAGTTAAACATAGAATTACTGTATCATCCAGCAGTTCCGTTCCTAGGTTTATCACCCAAAAGAATTGAAAACATGCTGTCCAACAAGTACATGCACACGTACGTTCACATCAGCACTTTTCACAAGCCAGAAAGTGAAAACAGCTCAAATATTCATCAATGGATGGATAGATAAACAAATAGCGGTATACCCACACAATGGAATATCATTCAGCCATAAAAAGGATGAAATACAGATACACGCTGCAACATCTATGAACATGAAAAAAAAAAGGCTAAGTGAAAATAGCCGTATACATAAGGCCACACATCAAATGGCTCCATTTATAGAAAATACTTGGAACAGGTGAATACACAGAGACAGAACGCAGATTGGTGGTTACCAGGGGCAAGGAAAAAGAAGGGAATTGGAAGAAATTGCTTAAGAGACATGGTGTTTCCTTTTGCGGTGACAAAAATATTTTGGAGATAGAGGTGGTATTTGCACAACGTGGTGAATGTACTAAATGGCACTGAACTGTTCACTTTAAAAGGGCTAATTTTATTTATGTGATTTTCACTTCAATTATATAT